CACACACACACACATACACACACACACACACACACACACACACACACACACACACACACACACAGAAGTGGTAAGCTTCGGTGGGAAGAAGAGGAAGAAGAAGAAGAAGAAGAAGAAGAAGAAGAAAGGAAGAAGAAGAAGAAGAAGAAGATGGTCACTTCCCTGTGCGACGGGGGGCGCTGCGGGCCACGGACAGCGACGGGCGACACGCGACGGGAGGTGGTGGCGACGGCCACGGACGACGAGGAGGTCGGCGACGGGGGCTGGCACGCTCGACGACGAGGAGGACGGCGACGGGGATGCATTCGGCACGATCGACGACGGCGAGGCCACGGGAAACCGCAAGTGGGGGAGGCCGACGGGCAAAGGCGGGAAACGGAGGACGACCGCCTCCCTCCAAATTTCAAAACGGCGGCCTCATCTAGGCCGCCGATCTGCCTCGATCAGCGGTCCGGAGAGGCCGCCGCTTTCGAAGCAAAAAAGGAGGCATGCGCCACCCGGTTCGATTTTTTTTTGGGCCAGGAGGCCCCCACAACCCACGTGGGGGCCTCCTAGCCCAAAAAAAAATTGATTCGGCCCTTCCCCTCCAATGGGCTGTTGGCTGCCGGGGGGGAACCGGACCGGTCGACCGGACGGTCCCACCGGCCCGGTTCCGGTTGGGGGTGGACACCCCGGTCAGACCGAGAATTTAGCACTGAAAAAAACAAAAAAAAAAAAGCCTGGAGGTTCACCCTCAAGAACGGTCCAAGGGGATTGGGTAGTGAGAAACTCCGATCTTCCCACCCCTTCCTTCATATACAAAGTGACAGCTAACCATGAAGGCCATTGCCTGTTGGAGGTGTACGAACCCCACCTTACAGGTGCCAGATTTGCGAAATTGGCACGAAATGACAACCTGGATTGCAAAGAAAACTGTGGAGGCCTCATGCAAGTAAAGGTGGTTGGCGGAGAGGAGCACGAGGCTTGGGGAGTTCTGTCGAGGGAGGAAAACAGAACCAGCACTTTCGGCGTAGCTGTAGCTGGGGATATTTCCCTGTCATCGTAGGGGCGTGCGGTTATGGGGAGTTGCCGAGGGAGGAAGGCACTCCTTACTGTCTGCGCTAGGTTGGTCGGTACTGGGGTTTGGCGGTGCCCTGTAACTCTAGCATGGGAGGGTATGAGACCAGCCGTGTGTTGGATCGAGGATTGAATACGACACCTGTAATTTTCTTCAATAGATGAGGGGAGGATGGGATGATGTTGTTTGCGCAGTTCTTACTAATGTTTTCTGGTCCTGGATCCTTGGTAGTATTTCGTCTTTACTTGCAACCGGGGTATAGGAGTTTAGAGAGGGTCACACCTGGACTGATCTCTGCTGAGTTGTTCTGTTTTGTGCCCCTCTTTTGCTGATGCCAGAACGACACTGGCCGGAGCTGGGGTGTTGCCCTGTGACCTGCAAATTCGCAGGAGTATAAGGTCTTGTAGAGAGATCTGGGGGTTGTCGAGGGAGGAAGGCAACCCTGTGGCGAATCGGGGGGGGCTGCGTGGTGGCGAGAAGAGATCAGCTATGGGAGATGATTAGTCTGGTTGGTACTGTCTCTGAGTAAGCATGTCCTGGGGAAAGGAAGGCTAGGAATTACCTTAGGAATCTAGATCTAAAGGTCTATTGTCTTGGTCACCAACGTGGGTCTTAAGAATGATTTAGGAATCTGGGGACTTCTAATAACTTAGCTTAGATGATCCAGTGCTGATGTACTCAGTGACCTGCGGAGGTTCGATGTCAGAATGACGCTGGCCGGTGTTGGGGCTTTGCCTTGTAACTCGAGGATGCAGGAGCGTGAGGCCTGGTAGAGAGATCTGGGGATGCTTTGGGGGGGCATTCTAAGGGACAACCAAGGGTTGCTGCTGAGACGACGCTGGTCGGAGCTGGGGTGAGTCGTGTTGCCCTGTAACTCAGCAGGGTGGGGGCGCGAGACCTGGAAGAGCTCAGCAGGGAGTTTGTCAGCGCTGGAAGGCTCAGATGGGTTGCTAGGGACTCGTAGATTTTTTAGCATTCATGGACTCCTACGGTGGCATTTTTAGTTGTAGCAGATTGTTTTTCTTAAGTTTGTCGAAGTAAAATTCTGATTAGCTTGAAACTTCTAAATCCTATTTTTTCTTTATTACGATTTTTTTTGTCATCATAAGGGACGCTGAGCCCGGTTTTCGGCAATCTCGGTTTCGTTACTCCGGGTAGATTGTGAGGACCCCAGCCTCAATAATTTTCATTAGTAATATCAGCCTTGAGCACTGGGCAAAAAAAAAAAAAAAAAAAAAAAAAAAAAAAAAAAAAAACGATTTGTTTGTTTACGAGCCTGCAATCCCGGTTGTCAGACTCCCGTTTGACCCAGGAGAGTGGGAGTGGCTAGGCCCCAAGCCTCTTCATATATGGGATTACACAGTCAAAAGGGGCTACAAAGCCGCACGTCCCACCCTGCCAATTGATCCGACACTTGTGACGCGCTAGCTTCCGGACCTGCGCCATCTTCCTTCCCCCCCCGCCTTCTTTGTCGAATTTTGGGTGACAGCCCGACAATGCCTCTTTTTGTATTTTCATGAATGTAATATTCGGGGCCCTCGGATTAGTTTTTGAATATTTGTCTTTCGCAAATTCGGGAATTACACGGGAATTACGCGTGCCTCAGAGAGAGCGCTAGGAATTTAGGTCGACAATTAGGAATTCTGGAATGAGCGGAATCTGACGTGTCATTTCTTGCGCTTGAATGTTCTCAACTTCATCTTGGAAAGCTCTGGGAATATTCGTAGGAATCTGAATAGGTATAGGATTTTTTCTCGCGCTCGCTCTACCGCGCGGATATGGTACTTTTCAATTTGAATTAGCTGTAACTGTTTTGGTGCCCTTTTTGCCTCCGCGTCGGCGCCATGCATGCGAGTCTCCCCTCCCCACCTCCCACGCTGCCTTCGACACTCTCTTCTTCGCGATTACGCTCCTTCTCTCTCCGCAGCTGTTTTTCATCTCTCCTTCAACCTTGCGCGCATTTTCTTTCCTTCTTGATCGTCTAAATCTTGTTTCCGTTTCACACTATTCTTCGCGCTCTTCTTCTTCCCGGTCTGATATAAGCGCTGAAATCCCCTGTTCACCCCCTTTCACTCCCCCTAGCCAAGGAGACGCGCCATACGAAAAGGAAATTCCTGATACACGACGATTATGATTGGCTGCAGCTGGGATCCAAAGGATCGACATGGCTTTCGTCCGGCAATCCCTGAACCTTTCCCGACTCCTCCCTGTCTCAGTCCTAACCCTTCCTAGCATCTATCTTCCTTTCCGCAGCACAAGCGCTTCCTAAAATTTCTCTCTCGACTCATCAGCCCGCTTCAAGGACATTGTGGCTAGGTGGTATGAGAGTTGACTGTAATTTTAGCATTCGGCATGCTGGATTGCCCTACGGACTGTGGGATCCGAGCAGAGTCGTGCAGAGACTAAGTCAGCGGGGTGACGATCTCGATGGTGGGTTGGCACGTGACGGTCAGGATCGTCAGTGCAAGTGAGACGTTCGACTCGGAAGTGGGTGAGTGTATGGCCTGAGGCTATGGTGGGATTTTATGAGGTGTTTCCCTCTTTTCTGTCCCAAAATTTGTATCTTCAAGTGTGAATTCCGATCAAGTCGAAACTCCCCTGGACAAGATTGCCTGGCATTTTGTGATTGTTTTCCACTCATTCTTCTCTCTCTCTCTCTCTCTCTCTCTCTCTCTCTCTCGGTCCTATTATATCGTAATGGATGAATTATGGTAACCTTGCTTCTCTCACTTCGACATGTGCATGCGTTGAGCCGTGTGAGCGAGTTTGTTATAGCATGACTGAAAGAACGATTGGTTGATCGACTGAATGATTGGGTTGCCTGGAGTGTCAGGCGAATAATATATGATTAAGACTTGTGCTTACCTTTGCTGTCATGTGGACTGACGGCCCCAATCCGACCGGGCGCAAACTTCCCGTGCCCCCGCCGCGCCCCTTCCTGTACAATGAGGAAAGGATACGTGTATGCGAGTGGGACGTACGAGAAGCCGTCGCCAAGATCGGAGGCCGTTATTACTTTCCTCCCGAAACTCGATGTTCTGGATTCGTCGGTGCGGGTTTTGTTATCATTGATACGCATTTTCCGCCATATTCGTTATTATTGTCATTTAACGAACTGATCGTCGTTCCGTGGACAGCAGTGGGACCTCATTGGCCTAACACTGTGCAGCGATTGTCGTCGCTTCGAGCATTACCAGGCCAAGGGGTTCCACTATTGTACACGTGGCGAGGACGAGCACAAAGAAAAGGCTACTCGGTTGAGGCCCTCCACGTCGGCCTCGGAGCTGTGTAACGAGCGCAGACAATACCTCATCCGAAAACGGGATACCACGTGTGTACCTACCCCCTTTCACTCTAAAAGAGCGAAGGCTCGCTGGGAAGTCCAGCGATACTTTTTAGATTCAATTTCCTAGCTACAAGCCTCGCGTGCACCTTTTTCTCCCTTAAAATAAGCGACGGACCTTCTTCCTACTACCGTCGCATCAACACGGGGGATTTCAGTTTTGTCTGTCCCCGCACTCAATTTTCCAAAAATCCTTGGCACACCCCATCTTTGCTGCCTTCCCCGGGCCCCCTTCCGCAAGCCAAAACATTTCGACCGGGAAGCAGCGCAGGACGTGAGGTTGAGCGTCACACACTAACCCAAAGGTGGGCACGTCGCTCGCCTATGGAGCCGCGAATGATCGAAAGTCTCTAAAATTATGCCGACAAACCTCAGAGCTTTGCAATGGCAGATCCTACACTGATGCCTCCCTACCCCTGACTGGCTAGTTTCGAGGACGGACCTGGAGCAGAGAGGCCTGCCATCCCTCATCTGTACGTATTGTGGCAGGGCAACACCACCAGCTCGGGCCATGATGGGGCATTGCCTGCTGGCATGCCCCATGGTCACCTAGCTGTGGCAATGGTGGGACGCGGCTTTTCATTCCCTCACAACCCAACATAACCATGGGATCTCGGGCTGCTGCTGCTGGGGGAGAACCAGTACTTGCTAGCACAATGGTTCCCCTTCGCAACTAACCTCTTTCTCTATATGAGGTTGCCAGTCCTTATGCTGGCCTGGAAAACCAGATGCTCCCATGAAAGAAGGGATCATCAAGTAGGATTGCAGCGAGCCCAACACGAAATTCAGGAGGAAATTAGGTCCCGTACATACGACGCATGAAAATCCTTCAGATGGGAGTACGAAGAAGAAAAGGACCCTGAAGCCAAGGCAATTTTGAGGGAGACTTGTATCCAACTTTGACAAGACCCGCACTGCATCTTTGCAGAGCTGGATGTAGGTCTCAACATCCAATTGAAACCGTGGAGGATGACAGAACAGGCTTGGCAGAGGCAACCTTTCCACTACTTCCAGGTCTCGTACCTGCAACCCAACTTCATTATCATACCCCCCTCGTTGCCCCTCCCTACTTCCCCACCTCAACCACCACCTCAGCCGCCGCAGACACCCCCCCACTAGCCCTCAGTCGTACAGCTGCCCCCCCTGACGCCCAGCCCCAGCCGCTGACCCCGCAACTCACCCTGCTAACCCTACCAACCCCCCCCCGCTCTGGTGTTAAGGATAGATCATCATGGATGATAGCAGTCTTCACTATCGAGCATTTTATCACAAAACATAGGCTGTCAGGTAGGCTACTGGGTAGTTGTTGCTACTGTCAGTTGTCTGTACAAACAGCCAAGCATGATGTTCTGGGACGCTGGACCCCATTTCCGGCAGGTGCTGCTCCCCGCCAATAGATGGACCCTCCCCGAGATGTGTTAGTGGTGGCTGCTCTTCTCAGCACTCCTAACACCGTCTCTGGCTGTTTGGAAAAAAGGAAAAAGAAAAAAGAAAAAAGGTACCTGTAACGAAATCAAAGCAGACTCACTCATACACTACCAGATGGAAAAACTCTTTGGAGTGTCGGTTCACACCCCATCACAAGCCAGCAAAACACCCATTAAACAAAGAAAGGTCTGTCACAGCCAGAAGAAACACTCCAGACATACCGCTCGCACTAGAGGCACAGCATGGCCCATAGTGACTGCCCCAAGCACTGCCGCTCGACCTGCCCGGAGAAAACTGTAGCAGGGTGCTAGCGAGGTCGTGATATATACTGTCAAACAGAGGTGCCCAGTAAACCGTATGCAGAGAGGGAGACGAGGACAACAAACGAGGGGCTGTGACAAACTGTTTCATTAGAGTTTCACCGACTCATCAGGAGACTGAACCCTCAAACAGTCTCCAGAATCCCCTAACTACTTACACTAAGTGATAATCCACCTTAACCCTTGCTGTGGTTAAGCATCAACGACTACCCGCCACCTGATACTGAGGTGGGCACCAACCACTGCCCTCAAGGTACCTGTGATGAAAACCAAAGCAGACTACCATCTGGTGTGGGCGAGTGATAGTCTGCTTTGATTTTCGTCACAGGTACCTTGCTTCCAAGAAGTTTCCTCACTTCCCTCTAGTTTCCGCCCTTAAACCACCAGTACTTCCTAGAGTCATGCCCGTTAACACGCCACAAATTCATCCGGCTACAGGAAACGTACAGGCAACTACAGGAGCGCCCAAATTCATCCGACTAGAAACATTTCTGCTCTATTTTCTTCTGTGGCCGATAGCTGGGCCAAGTACTGGTGGTTTAGTAAGGACAAGCAGCCTTATGCTTGACAACTCTTGTTGCTCAAGCCGAATGTCATCTGCCGTCGGTGTGTCGTTACTTGCTGTTTTAGCCAAATTGTACCCGGGTTAAAGGGCCAATTGTCCAGGTTGCATTAACCACTCCCGCCGTGCCGTCCTTCATTATTCGATCCGGGTATCCTGAGCGGGCCGCTTGTCAAAGGACCTAACTCATGGTTACTAGAGCTAGTGCTTTCCTGTTTTTGTTCTTGTTTTTAACTGAGTCAATTGTCATGTCGCATACAAGGATTCCATTTCTTTTACATGTGGCGCACAACCTCACGCCCTGCACTGCTTTCCCTTCAGAGGTGGACTGAAATGCTGCAGGACCCAGAAAGTGCATAACTAGGGATGTGCCAAGGAGTTTTAGGAAAGATGGGTGTGAAGTTCCCGGTTATGAAGCGGACAAGATAGAGTGGCAGGAAGGCGTCATCTCCCTGATACTCACAAAGCACTTCCCGAGCTCATCGGCGTCTTTTACCAGAGTGGAAAGGGGCAGGAGTGTACAAAGTATGCCGACCACAGAAAGAGAGTTTGTGGTGTTTCACAAAGTTTGAAGTCAGAATCAATGCGAATCATTGGCAGTGCAATCGCACTTAAATGATTCCTTTCCATTCATTCACTTATTGTTGTGATCAACCAAGAGGGAAGGACATTGGATGGAAAAGAAGAGAGAGAGAGAGAGAAGACATTGGTTTCAGCTTATGTAATTCTTCTTCTCCTCCTGCTTCTTCTTCTTCTTCTATCCCCTCCATTTTATTCCACTCGTTTTCTCGTTCCACTTCAGGATCTGCATTGTCTCTCGTTTGAGTTTAACATTATGGATGATGTAAGATCATAAGAGAGGGTTTTCATAGAAACAACTATCCGTCAATTTAGCAAGGCTCAAAGAGCAGATGCTTCGCATCTGAATCCCATGCATTGGAACCACCACCGAAGGATGCATTACATCGGCTTTGCGGATGATTTTCTGGTAGCAATCTCTGGTCCTCATAGAAGTTGTGAAACCGAAATGTGCATTGGAATTGTTCCTTTGAGACAAACTCCAATCAACACTACGGACAAAACCCATATTACCCCATGTGTCGAAAGGAGTACCTTTCCTTGGCCACAACATCTTCAAAGTATGCCGTGGCAACCTTACGGCTCGAAGAGCAGAATGCTTCGCAGCTGAATCCCACAAAGGCGCTTTCGCACATAAGAATCAGACTATCCTTGCGGATACCACTAAATAAATCAAATGACCCACTGATATGCACCAGATTGGCGCAAAACCCAGTGTATGGTTGGAGACCGAGCAGAATGCTTCGCAGCTGAATCCCACAAAGGCGCTTTCGCACATAAGAATCAGACTATCCTTGCGGATACCACTAAATAAATCAAATGACCCACTGATATGCACCAGATTGGCGCAAAACCCAGTGTATGGTTGGAGACCGTTGGACTAAGTAAATGCTGCTGTGTATACACCATGCTGCTAAGCTGCTGATTCATGGACTTCAGCAGAGGCAGACCGCCAACGTCACAGTAACTTAATGTACCAGTTCAGCAACAAGAAGACAACCACAGTCCACCACCAAAAGAATCTAGTGAAAGGCCAGGCTATACAGGCAGGATTCTCACAAGCCAAAGAGGAAACAAATTGTACTGTTAGATGAGAGAGAGAGCAGCACTCTTTGGCCTCGTCCTTCACATTCGCAATCGGGAGTTTTTAACCCCCTTTCTGAGAAACGTGGAGACATCATCTCCCACACACGACTTGATTCAAATTTGACTGCACTGCCCACAACCACACTCCCTCCCTCCTCCTCCCCCTCCACCTCCTAGACAAGCGAGCAGACATTCAATTAACTCAAAGACAGGACATGACAGCCAGAGAGACAAACATCACAAAGCAGACTCCCCCAGCAAATGACAAACCCCCATGGAATACATTGCTTTTGGCAGGACAGATTTTGCCTGGGTGATCGATCGGTCAAGAATTGTCTGCACATCTGACCGAGAATGAAGAATGATGAAATAAAGATGGCACACAGATGAATCCATCACAGGCAAGCGCTAAACATCATCAACATCGTCAATTTTGCCTCAGTCCAGCAGCCTGTCCGGGAAGAACAACATTTCCTGACCTCGCAGGGCAAGAACAGCAGAGTAACCGAGAGCGAATAATGAAGAAAAACAGACGCCATCTGCATCCATCACAGACAAGCGCTACACATCAACAACATTGCATGGCATTGCCTCCTCCCAGCAGTCTGCCCAATCTTACTAGGCAGAAAACAGATACAAGAGCAGAACGCAGATGTAGAGTGACGCGTGCACACGACAGCGGACAATACAACCCAAGGGACACGGGCACGTGTCGCAAGTTGAATACAGGGGAACACAATTGAATACAAACTTCCGGGTGATTTACAGTTTCAAATTTGAATGAAGATGAGCCCATTTGCTGTATGGGTTCTCCACATGGTCATCATCGAATGACCTCAGCGACTTAACCCTTTCAGCGCATTTCGAACACGAGAGACGATGATGGGGAGGGCGGCAAGTGGGCCAGGAGACAGGTGTGGCAAGCAGTGCGGGCCAGCAGGCTGAGCGGAAGGGTTGTCAAGAGAGACGAACCAAAGAGGATTCCTGGAGAGCACCCAGGAGAGGTGAAATTGGACGGGCATATCGGGTCAATGTGAACCACAGCAGTCTGCGCGAAGCTCTGACCACAGCAGTTTGCGGGATGCTTCGACGACAACTTGCAGCTTCTCCACAAGCAATTTTGAGAACCTCTGGAAAGAGAGAGACAGACCATTGGAGCCGGCTTGCTTACTGCCCCCTCCGAAGAACTGATCACCCATGACACATCATCTGGCACGGAAGGAGAAATCCACACGGTGACAAATTTAGGCATGCTAGGGTGGGTAAATTCCCCCCTTCCTCGTTCCTACCTCCCACATCTCTCCGGTTAGGCATCTCCCATCCTGAACAAATTAGGCTCCCTGCCTTGCTTGAATTGAGATTGACAGAACCCATAGCGGCAGGAGAATAAATGGAGGCATACTCTAAATATACAGAATCTACTGATCACGCACATAGCGGATGCTTATTTACAACAGGCAATATATTGCATCACAACCAACCCTGGCCGTCCCACACATGAGCAATCACCAGTTCTCCTTCCTTGTCCTTTCCTTCTCAATGATGTACTTCCCTTCTTTATACTTCTGATTTTCCACGTAAGCTTGCTCCTGCCAACCATCCCAACGCCACAGGTTACAGCAGAGCCAATCAGCAATCCCCACCAGCAACCAACCGGCAGGAAGTCAACCGTCCCATTCATCAACAACCAACCAATCAATCAGGAGCCAGTTCTTGCCAGCCATCGACGGCCATTTACTCAACCAATCAGCACACATGCACAACCATAACTAAGGTGAGAGGCATCTTTCCACCGCACAAGACAAGATTCATGCAGGACGCGCACACAAACAGGTTGCACCTCGGAAGCAGCAGGAAACCAGCCATCAACCATCATCGAGTCAACAATCAGCAACGTCCACACCCACCCCACCATCACCTATTAACTACCGTCTTCACCCGAATAGAGCGCCCAGTAATTATCGCTGTATCTGGAACGGAAGTTGCCCCACATACAGCTATAATGACCGGGCATTTCAATTCGGGTGAGGACGGTATATCCCCAATCGAGTCCCATGAGTTGAAAACATGACTAGAGTGTGTGAAAACCCTGCAGGTTGCCCGAAGAGAGGATCTAGTGCAAAACGAGCGCAAGAAGATTCCACCCAGGACGGATACACGTGCAAGGCGCCTTGCACTCGCACCCTCACACAGACATCATGAACACGCACAATCCCAGTGTACCTCTATCTTTCGCACAAAAAAAAAAAACTTTAGCCTGTAGGACTAGCGTTGGCCTGCAAACCAAAACAACGACAACCGCGTTACGTTTGCACCATCACAAAGAATATCACCCCAAGTATTCACTAAATAACCTATAGCCTGTTTAAGACATACGACCAGAATAAATGAAAGAATAGAGAGAAAAGAAACCCGACCCACTGCGTGAGGACGAGGGACACATTCCCCACTGCATCTAACACACCAGTAACCCATGCCCAACGATTTCCATAATTGCACCTGCCAGGCGAACAAATCATACACAGGCCAAGTTTTTCGCATGTGTACCCGACCATCAGATGATTGCATCTGACAGGCCAGTGACGCATACACATTCAAACAGAAGACTTCCGCCGTCTGCCTTCTTCATCTGACAGGTCAACAACCTGTACGCACTGAAAAACAAAACATTTCTAGCTTCTGCATTCTTCAGTGTCCGCGGTTCGAAGGTGGTGGACTCTGCTACTACGTTGTTGAAGCAGCGTGATACGAGACTTACAAAGGCCAGACAAAGACCGGACAAACCCTTGCCGCTTCCACATTCCCTCCGGGACATCCACCATCCGCCCCTCCTTGCAAGAAGAGACCTCCACTCAGAGGAACAGCAATGGTGTATGTTCGAACAAGTGTGGACTCTCTAACACACAGAATGGGAGACGGCCGAACACCAGCAAGGTAGGACTACTGTTTTTTATACAAAAAGAAGAAAAAAAGCTAGGACAACTGGAGAGCAAGCTCCCTGCATCTTCATAGCGGGAATAGTGAGTACAAAGCGTCTTCTTTTCATATTTTTACAAATTTCAGCAACTTTCTTCCCTAGTTCACAACCACCTTCTTCAGCCATTCCCGTATAATTAATGCTGGATGCAAACTCACATATTTCCAGCCCAATACAGCACCGCACACCGCGCAGTATATGTCCGCAACCGTGTGCAAGCCGGTCAGCAGCAGCCTCTCTTCCTTCGGCCCCAGCGTAATGTTAACCCTGCATTAGACAGAATGTGGTCAGAAAATGAGGGAACACCCCCACAAAAGGGAAGTCAGATACACAATGCGGAGGAGGGGTTGAAACGACGCTGCTTCAACCGTCACACAGAAAATGAAAAACAGGACCAAATACAACAACAAACAGCACCTGCCAATACATACCCAGAGATGTTACTTGGCTTATCGATCTTATTACCAGAAGCAATGGAGGCAGACCATTTAACAGTAGGTGTGTAGTCATTGACCGAGTTTTGATGCGTGCCTGCCAAGTAGGTGGTGCATCAGTGGGCTGGTTTCGCACAGATATATATATGTTAGTTACTCCGGCTGTCTGCGTCCATACCACCCAGCCTCAGGCCAGACATTCAGCATACCCCCCTAGGACCAAATACAACAACAAACAGCACCTGCCAATACATACCCAGAGATGTTAATTGGCTTATCGATCTTATTACCAGAAGCAATGGAGGCGGACCATTTAAAAGTAGGTGTGTAGTCATTGACCGAGTTTTGATGCGTGCCTCCCAAGTAGGTGGTGCATCAGTGGGCTGGTTACGCACAGATATATATATGTTAGTTACTCCGGCTGTCTGCGTCCATACCACCCAGCCTCAGGCCAGACATTCAGCATACCCCCCTAACGTTAGCCAGATGACAGTGACACGGATTTGAACCCATGATCTGTTTACTTGCAGCTACTGGCAGCCTCACAGCAAACATTCAGCATACCACCCTAATGTTAGCCAGATGACAAGGATTTGAACCTATGATCTGTTATATTTCATTTGCAGTCACCAGTAGCATGTACGCATTCCTCTTTTTGCTTCCTGAAGGGGGGGCAGCCTTTTAGCAATAGCCAGGTCAGCACGACGATATTTGAACGAACGATTATCCACTTTTTCGCAGCTCCATGTGTGTACCATTCCGCAACCTGAGTCCATGTAAGGTTGACTTTCATCAACAGAATTTCACTTCAGCACGACGATATTTGAACGAACGAATGCCTACTACAGTGCGTAATGCCACCGTTGGTGGAACTCCAACAAAACAGTATATCATATACCCCCATTTTCTGCCATTTTCTTGCTTTCTGCCTATGGTTCACCAGGAAGTTCTCAATGACTATATATCGTCATAGAGAGCTGTGCGGCAAGTAACAGGCAGAAAGCGAGAAAAGCACAAGAAACAGAGGGCCTGTGACAAACTGTTTCGGCGGAGTTTATATATTGTAACACATCTATGGACGAAAAGAGCACACTTCGCAAAACAAAAAATGAAAACATACAAGACAAAACAAGAGGAGCAGACTGAAACCCTTCCTTTGCCTCTTCCTCTTGATTACTTCTTTTCGCTCCCCCTTTACTGTGCATCTCACGTCCAAGGCTCACCATATGACGAAGTTTGAGAGCTGCCCACATCTTCGTGTGCCATAACAGCCCACTTCTACTGTGAAGAGGAGGCAGGAAAAAGGAAGAGAGGATGAACAGAGAGAAAAGATGGAAAGCAGACAAAGCAACGGAACACAAAGGGAAATTAAGTAAGGAGTGTGGAAGGGAAGGCAAACATACTGAAGGAGAAGACACAGCTCAGGACAGGATCTGTCTTGGACGACAGAGGGAACATAAGGATGAGATGGACAGGGACATATGAAGTGTAGCTGAGCACTCTCAGTACAACAATTCCCAGAGCGGTTGGCACTAAGCATGGCTGCCAAACACTCCCAAGAAACGGCATACCAACTGCAGGCCAGCATGAAGGAAGAACGGGCACCACTAAGCACCACGCATTCAGTGTAGCGCCCATGGCCACAAAATGGACATATAGCGTCAGGACACGGAATGCGCCTGCAGTCCGGAACGGAGTAACAGTCCTATGCACACATGGATGCAGAAGCTGTGCCAGCCAAAGGAGAAGGTTGATACACGGTCCTGCTGCAGCACAGGGGCAGAGAAATGATGTTTAACACAAAAGAGTGAGCGGACTGCTTGCTGTGGCAAAATCGTTTACATACACACATATATACAAGAGGGCAACAGACGAGGGGCTGTGACAGACTTCTTCATCGAAGTTTCACCGACTTGTCAGGAAGCTGAACCCTCTACAGTCTGCAGAGTCCCCTAACCGATGATACTGTAAGTGATAATCCACCTTAAACCCAGTTGCAGTAAAGCATCAACGACTGCCCGACACCTGATACCCTGAGGTGGGCACCAACTTCTGCCTGCAAGGTACCTACATATCATGGGGTGTGAACCTGTAGAGTTTTTCATCTGGTGTGCCTGAGTGATAGTCTGCTTTGACTTTTGTCATTCTTTAGAGAGCAAATAGCAAGCCTCTCTGCTGGATCTAGATGTGTTTGGCGTAGAGTTTAGCACTCTGTAAGCAGATCTAGAATTTAGTCCTTTGCAGGGTATCAGCTGCCGCACAGTCTTTGATGCTTAACCACAACTGGGGTTAAGGTGAATTTTCACTTACTACGCTTGAAACTTGAGAAATCAAGAGCTCATCACCACTGCACTAACTCTTGACGCGGCAGTGTGAAATCTCATTCAAGAGCTGTCAGATACACTCTCGAAAGCGCCAAGAGTGCATCATCGCTGCATTAACTTTGGATCGGAGCTCTCAATCTTGTGCTTCAAGAGCTGTCAGAAACCACCCTCGTCTCAAACTTGATGGTTCCACAGTGCCCGCCTGCAAGACGGGTTTTTCTCAGGGGAGGCAGCACCGACCCTTCATGCGGTTGAAGATGTCTAGAGCGTGTCTCCTGTCTCGGCGGACAAACATGGTGGCGCTGTCCTGTAGTGTCAAAGACTCGACTTCCTTTCAAGTAAGTCGAGAGTAAGCGCAGGGCCAACAGCAATTCTGGCCATTTTAAGAGTCTGAACTCTCAAAGGACTCTTGAATATTTTCGGGAGTTAAAAAGTGCAGCGAGGCCCAGTATCATTGCTTTGGAGAAGTTAGGAGACTCTGCAGACCGTAGAGGGTTCAACCTCCTGATGAGTCGGTGAAACTCCGACAAAACAGTCTGTCACAGCCCCTTGTTTGTTGTCCTCTTCTCGCTCCCTGCCTACAGTTAGGGCAGTTCTCTTCAAAGATATACATATATTTATATATACATATATAGTCAAACAGAGCTGCCTGGTAAACCGTAGGCAGAGAGGGAGAAGAGGACATACACATAAAATTAAAAAACATAAATATTAAATATATATGTCACAGCCCCTTGTCTGTTGTCCTCTTCTCCCTCTCTGCCTACATTTTACCTGGCAGTTCCGTTTGCCGATGTATATGATCATAGAGAACTGCCCAGTGAACCGTAGGCAGAGAGGGAGAAGAGGACAAAAAACAGAGGGCTGGCACAGACTGTTTTGTCGGAGTTTCACCAACCCATCAGGAGGCTGAACCTCTCTGCCTGCAGGGTCCCCGAACTGATGATATTTCAAGTGATAATCCACCCTCCCATAGATGTGATTAAGCATCATGATAATCCACCCTACCATAGATGTGATAAAGCATCAATGACTGCCCCACAACTGATAGCCTGCAAGAACTGAATTCTTAATCCGCTTATATATTGTCACAAACAGAACTGCCCGGTAAACCGTAGGCAGAGAGAGAGAAGAGGACAACAAACGAGGGGCTGTGACAAACTGTTTCGTCGTCAAATAGAACTGCCCGGTAAACCGTAGGCAGAGGGAGAAGAGGACAACAAACGAGGGGCTGTGACAAACTGTTTCATCGGAGTTTCACCGACTATATCGTCATAAATAGAACTGCCCGGTAAACCGTAGGCAGAGAGAGAGAAGAGGACAACAAACGAGGGGCTGTGACATATATATCGTCAAATAGATATATATATCGTCACAGAGAACTGCCCAGTGAACCATAGAGGGGGGGGGGAGAAGAGGACCACAAACAAGCGACTGTGACAGACTGTTTCGTCCAAATTTAATCAACTCGTCAAAACGCTGAACCCTCTACAATCTGCAGAGTCCAAATTTCACCGACTCATCAAGAGGCTGAACCCTCTACAGTCTGCAGAGTCCAATATACTGTCTCGTGATATATACCGTCAACCAGAGCTGCCCTGTAAACCGTAGGCAGAGAGGGAGAAGAGGAAAGAGGAGCTCCTATAGATTGTTCTGTCAGAGTTTCACCAACTCATCAGGAGGCTGAACCCTCTACAGTCTGCAGAGTCTCCTAACTCGTGATACTGAGAGTGATAATCTCCTAACCGATGATTCTGAGAGCGATAATCCACTTTAACCCCGGTTGCAGTTAAGCATCATCCACCTTCACCCCGGTTGCAGTTTAGCATCATCCACCTTTACCCCGGTTGCAGTTAAGCATCATCCACCTTAACCCCGGTTGCAGTTAAGCATCAACAACTGCCCGATAACTGATACCGTGAGATGGGCACCAACCACTGCCCTCAAGGTACCTGTAATGAAAACCAAAGCAGACCGTCACTCACCCACACCAGACGAAAACCTCTACATACATACATATATATGTTATGTTTAACAGTATATGTGAGTCGTCAAACTCTCCCTCTCTGCCTGCGGTTTACCGGGCAGTTCTGTTTCACGATACATACGTTTGGGTGCGTTGTCATGTTCAACCACCAGTACCTTTGTCGGTTCGAAAATACTCGGCCTCCGACCTTTCCGGAGGCTGAAACGAAACGACGGCCGCCGATCAGATTGATCAACGTCGGGTTCGGCCTCCTGAAAGTTCGGGTACTGGCCAGGACTTGTCGAAACCGGACGCCAAAGGTACTGGTGGTCACCCAGCCAACTCCACAAAAAAAACACTTGACCGTCCCAGACTGTCTCATCAGGAGGCTAACCCCAACAGTCTGCCCAGGATGCCTTAAGAACTCAACATGTCACCCAGATAACCGAGAGAAAAGTGGTCGACACCTAGCCGACTGTTGGTCCAAACCCCTGACAAGAACGGCAGTAAGTCTGATAAACTAATCTGTCACAGCCATACCCA